GCAGTGTGCACAAACTTTATTTAATTGACTCTATTTTCATCAATGATAAAGACAAGCAAACAAAGCTAATTTTCAGATAATATTTAGGTATAACTTTTTCCTAATACAGTATGTTCCCTTGTTTCTACAGCAATCTCACTGAATATCGAGAAAATACTTGCTATTTGCTTTTGCCCCTCACTGCAGCCATGAATGCTGTGACATCATGTGCATGCTCTGTATTGAAATTTTTACTCAGCTGTTAGTTGCCAGTTGTCTTTCACCCCCATATACAGGTTATCATCCCTAGCGCACCTGCGCTGACTCAAAAACCCAAACCCAACTTGTTCAACACTGTAGTCATGCACAGTCACACACAGTTTCACACCGCAGCTCCTCCTACCATACATATTATTACAAGAGTAATGCGATATTTCCTTTGTATGTTAATGTGTATTATTTTTCACGCTACATTCGCTTTCTGAGCCTATTTCAACCTTTTGTCCTCCCCCTTTCCCTATTGTTCCTTCCCCTCCACATCTGCATTTACATAATTGAACTTTTGATTGGACTTTGCTCCCTCCTCTCTCCTCTCATGCAGGCAGCGTTTGAAATCCAAAGCACAATTTCATGGGTACGATTACATGAGGTGATCAGCACGGTTTTCTTTCTATTTTGAATGCTAAGATGGTCACTGTAGCGTGGCTAGATTAAACAAATTGCTTGTTTTGGCTGAAATTGCAATTAAATAATTGAAGCTTTTGCTTGTTAGAGCCTCAACAATAAGATGAGAACCTTCAAGCACCTGTACATAGCCTCTTGAGCTCAATGTCTTCAATTTATGGAAGTGTATTTTAACATGGTAAATGGTTAAACTGTAGATTTCTTCTTGTTTTTTAAACTTGTGTGGGTGTCCCGACATAATGCTGTATTTTTACTGTACAAAACACTTGATGCGGTGGTTTTCTTAGTATGTATCCTGATGTCTGCATGTGCGCGAGTAGCATTTTTTTGCCATTGGCTTCTTGAGCGGATTACAAGTTTTAAAGAGTATGAGATTCAACACCTCCTCAAATGTGACACTCTGACACTGCTTTGAAGCCATGAAAGTGAGATTGGAGAGACACAGAGGCTCTTTCCTTTGCACAGAGTTGTGGGTTTATGTCATTGGGTTGAGGCCAGTTAAGTTTCCATTGAAGCGTTGTGCCCTCAAGTAAGAGACAAAGCCGCCACTTAAGCCATTTGACTTGTATCTTTTTTAGGGCTCCCCCAAGGCCTTCAAATGACCCCTGTGGTCTAGAAAACTCATACAACACAACCTGCTTAATTGTATGTTTTAACCTAAAAAAAAAAAAAAAACATAAAAAAAATGTTTATATAAAAAATATTCCAGCATTGATGATATTAACTTAAATATTATATAGTAGGGATCGTAAAAATAGATTAAATCGATTAATCAAATTTAAACTTCAATCGATTTCTTTTGAAGAAAATTAGATTTTATTTCCCGCCACTTTCTTGCATTGGGAATTGCCCTGGAAATGCAAGAAATGCTGCTCAGTGCAGTTACGGGGAGCAGTTTTACAAATTGCTTTTCTCTTCTGTGTGAGGAAGACACATAGGAAGAGCAGATCAAAGTTTAGCACAGAACCAGCTACAACAAATTAAATGTTCTGAAAGGGCAAATCATTACTTTTGCCCCACTTCAGCTGTATGTTCAATACAGCCCCACCACTTTTGTTTTATCTCATTCATAAAATGGAGATGGGTTAAATATGCTCACTTCTCAACATAATGTAGAAGTAACACCAAATACTGCTTTTATAATAATTAGCTTATTATTTACTAGCACTTCAGTTTGAATTAAAACAATCATACATGTGTCTTTGACAAAGTTTACAGATCAGAAAACATGTAAAATCTAATTTTTGGAAAAATAATCAACAGTTTTATTTTTACGCAAAATGGCCCAACCCTATTATTTAGTAGAAAAATAATTATCTTGATTATAAAAGTTGTTTTTTCTGCACCATTTTGTAGCACAATTATGATTTTCATCTCATGTGGATGTCCCAAAATAACACTGACACCTAAAATCCTCCTTGTGACAGCCACACCAAGACTACATGAACACTTCCATTTCCAGGTTTGCCACTATCTTGTCATTGCTGTATTGTGCTAAGCTTAGCCCCCCTTCTTTTCCTCTCTCACATCCTTTTCCCCTTCCCTCCATTTCTCTTTTTGCCCCATTCGATGCATGTTGTTGACACCGAGGCATCAGGAATAATGGAATCTCTTGTCAGTGGCTTGTATTTCTGCCCAGGCTGTTAGGCCTGTGTATAATAGTCGCAGAGCAGAAGGATGAGGGGAGGTTATGTGCCACTGATAGTAATGAAGGTTGCCTTTTCATTTTTAATATGAAATGTTTGTGGCCAAGGCAATGCCTTTTGCTAATCCCCCCCTCGAGCCGAGCCGCTACATGGCCGCATCTGTCTTTTGCACACACACACGCACTAACATTCACACACATGCATAAAGAGCATACACATACATGTGCACACCTCCCTTTAGGCTGCACACCAAATGTTTGATAAGTTAGGACACATTTCTGCTTCTCATACAAATGTTAGTTGTGTGTTTGTGTCTCAAGGAAAGACAGCTTATTCCTGTAAAACAAGATATGCAATTTGTTTAATATTCCATGGCTTCAAATCTACTCAGTGTGTAAAGGATTATCTAGAGAGAGAATGATGGAATAGCATAGGAAACTGATTGGGAAAGTTACAGTTGTTTGACATGCATGAAATGCCATCTGAAGCATTTGTCCTCTTTTATAGACCCAACTTTTGAACATGGCTTGGCGTTATGTTGAACAAGTCTCTTGCTAAGAGGCCCTACTTATTTTATTTGTTTGTTCAAGTATTGTGTTTAACTTGGGGGTCTTTTAGTTGGCCTCTTCAGTGTTTTTTCCTTCTGCCTAATACAATATGCATTACCTTGCCAATGGTTATAATAGACAGGTGTGTGTGTTGTTGTTTCCTTCAGCTAGTGTGCTGTGCTGAAGTGTGCTGTGTGTCTAATTGCTTTAATAGCACCTGGTCTCTAATCCCACGTAATTAGAGCGCTCAAATTAGACAGCTACTTTCAACCGTCACTTGAAAAAGTAGAAAGGGGAGGCCTGAAGGAAGACCACTCTAACCTGGTGGAAAAAAAATTTCAAAACTTGTTCACCCCCTCAGTTAATATGGACAAGAAAAACAGGTTTTTGTACCAGACCTGGAAAATGAGCTATGTATTAACTATATAGATTGTCAGTTCAAATAAAGACTAAACTATATTTATGTATCTATTTATTAATTAACTTGCTAAAGCTACAGATTTTCTCAATTTAATACATAAAAATACACTTATCTTTTGTTTAGTTTTTAGCTGCAAGACAGAACACAGAAAATGTACATTAAAGTCATAAAAACAGGGAATAAAAATGTGATAAACAATTGTGAACTATCAGTTATTATTGCCATTGACTTTAGTGTGTTATCTCTTGTTTTTTTTTCCTCATGTGGTATGTTGCCTGTACTGAGGTTGCCCAAAACGTGTCTGGAAAAGCTATAGGTAAAGGTTAAGGCCCTCTTTCAGAGATGAGCCGGAAATGTCAAGTGTCCGCCCCTCAGGCTCTCGATGCTGCCTGCCAGAGCTGAGGCTGCCGTAGGGGCCTCCACAACTCACAAAAAACACACACTTTGACAAAGGTTAGAAGTTGCTATTAGAGATGGCCTCCACATTCTTTCATCTGTTTTTGCTCTGGTGGCTTTCTAGTGTGGGTTCATAATCAGAGGATGAGTGACAACAATGACACAACAGATTGCTTGGTCCCTTTATTACCATACATTGGATGTGAGTGTGTAACTGTAACTGTCTGTGTCTGATGCGTAAGGGAGTACTAACAATGAAAAGTTTCTATATAAAATTGTTTGACTTTTTTTTGTCTTAAAAGATCCAAAACGTTTCTTTTTTTTTCCTTTTTAAAAAAAGTCTAGATTCAAGAAATTGTAATAATTTTATAAATACGAAGCAAACCTATGACTTTATGAAATATAATTCTTCTTTTACTTTTTGTAATTCAGTGCCACAAATATTACTTAGATAATTATGTTCAGATTTTCAACAGTTACTTATGTTAGAAGCATAGTTTTGTCAATTTATTTAAAATTTATAAAGACTCTAAACAATTATTTAGTACTTCAGTTACATTTTTCTCACAATCACTACAGCTTTTTCCTCTAACCAAGCACTCCAACGTTGAATGCCTTTCATACCATTGTAGTGCGCTACAACATCCAACAGAGGGGGTTGTTTGGCTGTTGCTTGTCTTGTAAATGCTGTCGTGTCAAATCTCTTGTTTGTTTTGTGATCCTGTATGTATTTTGGATGCGAATTTCATGAAAGTGAAAGCACAAATCTGAGGCAACAGAGTGCCTATGTAATTTCCAAGTAATTAATAACGGTCTGTTTATACTTTAAGATGCTCTTTAAACTTTAAAATAAAATGTTGTTGTCATACACTTTTAATTGTGCAAACATTTACATTATGTTGGCAATAAAATAAATAAATAAATCTAACTGCTCCTTAATTAATCCAATTTCAATGCATTTTCCACTAAACATTCAAATGATCTGAGAGAATTATCCCCTATCGCCGTCTCCATAACCAGATTAGTCTGTTGCCTTGTGAATAATGAGGGCAGTGTGGATCTGGAGCCTGTTAGAGGAAGACCACTGTCTACACGCCACTAAGGATTTGTGGGATTTGGAATCTGGGAGAGGAAGGGCTTCTAATAATGAAATCCTTTTAATGACGATAAGAACTGAAGAAGGCTGTGATAATTAATAAACATTTGCATCGTCATACACTTCTGTGTCATTAACCCTTAATTATACATTATCACTGTTAAGATACACCTTTTTACGGTTTAGTCTGTCTTAATCTTCTAACCTCTCCATTTTCTTTATTCTTCCAGCCCAGTCCTGTTCCCAGTCCGGTGTTGGGTGGAAAGCCAAATGCCAGTCAGTCTCTTTTGGCCTGGTGCCGTGATGTCACTAAAAACTACCGTGGGGTAAAAATCACCAACTTCACCACATCATGGAGGAATGGCCTGGCCTTCTGCGCCCTGCTTCATCACTTCAGGCCAGACATGATGTACGACATACTATTTTTGTATACATTATTATATTATTTAACAAATAGCAAATTGATCTTAATTCACAGTACAGTAATGTATTAGATTGTCTACCTATATTTAAGAGCTTACATTTTATATTTGTCTGTTGCTCCTGTTGACTGTTTGACAACAATGAAAGAAAAAGTTAGTAAGACATTGCTAGTGATACATAATTTTCTCTTTTTTTTAATCACTTCCCCAAAACCTCCCCACTGTTTTTTTCAGAGACTACAAGTCGTTAAATCCTCAGGATATTAAAGAAAACAACAAAAAGGTAAGAGGCAACAACTGCTGGGTCCTCACACCCATACCTCCATTTAGCCTTATTTAGAGATCTACCATTAATCTGCGACTATGCTGAGTGTTTAGATGATCAGAGTGAAAGCACACAAAGGCGGGCACATGTTCATGTGCTTCATCACTGTGCTATTTGTTTTACACACTCAACAGTGTAATGACATTTTCACAAGGACTTTTCCCTCGCTGCGTTGTTTACATGAGGCTCTGTGTGCTCAAGAAAGACTCACTCACCTAGCAGAGGTGTGATGGTGTTTCATCTCTACCTATTTCATTTTACCAACATCAAAGTCTCACATTTTGTTTATTATTTTGTTTATTAAACATTTATTGGTGCATCTTTGGTTCTCCGTTTAAGCAACTGGATTTGTTGTTCACTCCAGTTACACTATACTCGTCCCAATTCTGCTAGGGATTGAAACAGGTTGAAACCTCACCAGTTATGATGGGTTCATTTAGCAAGACAAACTGTTTATTCAAAATAACATAATATCAGTTGTACTTCTAGTGACAAACAACCAAATGGCTACTGACTACATTTGAACATCATCTGAGAAACCTAACATCTTGCCATTGCACCACTGTATAGACAGGTGCAGATTCCCATTCCCACATATGCCTCCAGCTTCTCACTCCTTTTTCCTGCATATACTGCCATTTTTTCCCCATTTCACTGTTACTACACCAGGCCCGAGGGCTACAGCGAACGATATGAGTCGGGTTCATGCAGCTTGATTTCCTCTTCTCATACACACTCTGGCTGGCCGATAACCTCTGGTGGCCCTGTTAGGCATGAATGCTACCCTGTTGACAATAACCATAGTGGAGGGAGAAGGAGACCCAATCCCATATCTGCTAACTGCCCCTCACCCCCCTCCAGGTGCTCAAGAAGCCCTGAAGGAATTGGCTAGATATAAGTAATATAGGAATATGCTGTAGAAGGTGATAGCTGGTAGGCATGCACTGCGACCAGTTTAGTGTGAAGATCTACATGGACTCACTCTATATCGCTATAGACTTGTGTAAGTGCATAAAAGCTGCTCAATAGAAAAATACAGAGACAACAGTGTGTTCTATTGTTCATTTTTAATCCCTTTGAAGCTTTTGTTTAGATGTATTGACAGCAGGTCATGAATGGAAACGAACCAAAATGACACCTATCTCTCCTCTTTATGACTAGTTGATAGACATGCCCCCTCCTCCTTTCAGAATTTATCTGTGTAGAGTGATTGCAATAAGCTCAGACGACTGAATTATGACTGATAAGCTCAATCAATACCAGGACCAGGTTGGGGGAGAAAAGGATGAATAAGATGAATATTCAGTGACAACCTTTGAACATATCCATTATAAGTTGGTGTATGAAAGTTAACCTGCTCAAGATTGAGTTCATATTGTTGACCAGCTAGAGTCGGCCATGTCTTTTTGGTGGCTGTGTGCAGTTATGTGTGTGTAATGAGACCAAGGAGAAGTCATTTGTCATGCCATCTGATAGCAAAGCACCGAGCAGCGGGCTAAATTGCCCTGAGCGTTACTGTGAGGGGTTGGGCTGGAGGGAAAAGGGTGCTGATGATTGACAACGATAGATAGCTGTCAGTCACTGGAAGGGAGTGAAGGAGGAGCAGAGAGCAGCGACCTGGGGCACAGAACACTGACATTTAGTCCAAATCTAAAGCCCTGTCTGTCTATGAGAAATTCACTGTTAATTTAAGATGGCTGTTGATAGACCTCAAAATAACATGTCATCATTCCATAGGGGCTTTGCTTACATCTACTAAAAAGGTGACAGTGTTTCCCATTAATAGAGGAGACTATAGTGGTCCCTTTAGTCTAAAATTCTCCCCCATAGTCCAAAAAACAGCATCACATTATTCCATTGCCCAGTTACCCAATATATTAAAATTTAAAATGAACTATACTGGGAAAAAAGAAAAAAAAACACAACAAATTACATGAGAGTAATTTATTAATCTATGAGAATCTATGAGACATACTGTATAATGTTAAACATCAGTTTGCAAATGCATTAGTAAAAAGTGTTTTTTTCTCACTTCACACAACCTTTTTTGATTCAAATATTTTTTGGTGGATTTTTTTGTTATGAGTTCTTTTGAATTGTTCTGATTGATCAATGACAATAAGAGGCGGTCATTACTAAACATGTAAGCCTTGTATGAAGTACTTAAAATAAGGGCCAAGGTGACAGTGGAACATGTTAAGCTAGCATAAACGCTCAAACAAAACTCTGCTCATGAACCTCTATGTCGCACAGCTCTCACTTTCTCCTCCTCTCACTGTTTTGTCTTTAATTCCTTCACTTTGTCCCCATTGAGCAGAACAGGTTGTCGCTTTCTTTCATAGCCTAGCTCATGTGTGAGAGGAGAACAATGGTAACACACTTTGTCCCCTGAATACCTGTTAGAAACCCAATCATGCCCCTTGTTCCTCAAATTCTTCAAATTCAAACTCCCTCTTTGTCGGTGAATGAAGGGGCCACATACATTAGCAGTAGTTTTATGTTTGCTAGGTTGGTCAAAGTCCGTTATATCCAGTTCATACTTTTATTTTCTGATGCATTTTGAAAAGAGTAAAATCCCATAGGGCATGTGAGATCGATGGTCTACAGACATCAAACGGAGCTGAAACAAATGAGTGGTGCAACATGTTGGACTTAGATCAACACTATCAAGCAGGTTAAGATACGAGCTCTGATACCTGTGAGATGGATGGGCAGGTCATGTGAGCATAGGAGCCAGGCACGTGCTAATCTATTTATTTACCTGTCATTGGCTGCGATAATGGTTTTCATCCTTTCCTTCTGTGTCTCAGCCAGTCTATCTCATGATGGGGATTGGACTTAGTGTGTCGCTTTGCTTGATAATCAGACTTGTATTTTCTCATCAAAGTCTAATCAGACCAATTACACGCGTGATGGAGATCGTGGGCAGGTTGATGTAGGCAGTAGATAAGGACACAAGCACACATATTAGTACATAGACATACTTTGGGATTAGGTGTTCTAGGGGTGTCTGTTTCCCTTTATCAGGAACAACCATCCTTGACATGAACTGTCATAAGCCAAAACCAAAGGTGTCTTGTACACATAGACATCATACATATGTACACTGACCACAGCCATGTTGATAAACTTAACACACACTTGCGCTACACACAAATATTGTTGCCCATTTTATGTTTTGCATAAAACTTTGTATTGTAAAAATAAATGTATAAATATTAACATGTTTATTTTTCTACTTTATAGGCATATGATGGCTTTGCCAGTCTTGGCATCTCCCGTCTCTTGGAACCTTCCGACATGGTGCTATTAGCGATTCCTGACAAACTCACAGTAATGACCTATCTGTACCAGATCCGAGCACACTTCTCTGGAGAGGAGCTCAACGTAGTGCAGATAGAAGAGAACAGTAGTCGCAGCACTTATAAAGTGGGTGACTTTGAGACCGACACAAATGCTTCCATTGGTCAGGACAAGTTTTATGCAGAACTAAATGATGTACAGCTACGACCAACTGTATCCCAGGCTGATTCACCTGCTGCTGAAAACTGTAATAAAAGTGGACATGAAGACCAGATAAACTCTAATTTGAAAGCTGAAGTAGCAGAAGTGTCATCTTCACAGTCAACAGCACCATGTCCTATTCCAGCACCGCGTACAACAATAACCACCACAGACTCCAGGCTGGCCCTTGAGTCGAATAAGACCCCTGAGGAGAGACCAAAGGTAGTTAAAGCGGACACCCTGGACCTGGGAGACCTACCACAAAGAGTGAACACAGACACGCGAAAGGAGGAGGGAAGAGGAGAGAGTGTGTCAGTATCAGAAGGTCCCTTCAGAAGAGGAGCCTCTCAGTTGTCCTCCTCACCTCCACAACAGAAACTAGGCTTCTCCTACAACCGAGATGCTGACCTGATCAAGAAGAAGAGGGCCAGTCTGCGCCATGCAGAGTCTGAACCACCCTCAGACACCAGCTCTGCTCCAACAAATCACATAGATACAAGCCCCAAACCGGTAAACTCATGTATTATAACTCAAAAATCTGTACATACATGCTAGGTCTCAATGCTTGAATGATGCATAACTTTGACTCCCTTTTGTTTACCTAATGTGTTGTTCTTTTCTTGTAAATCTTGCCAAAAACTAAAACCTGTCAAGGCCAGGCAGTGCACATGCAGCGACTGTAGAGGGCACCTCAGTGAACCCCCTGCTTTGACATTTCATTATATTTTTCATTATATTTCTCATCCCTTTGGTTGATGACATAAAGAGTCGTGACTACTCAGGCGTGGCGACGCTTTGCACACGGCACACCTCATCTTGTCTCACACACTGACTGGCACGTACCTGTTTTCATGTGCGGACAAGATGACACACTCACACACCAAACACACCTGACTGCATTGGTTAACCCCAGATTACAGTTTCCTGTTTACAAGTGTAAAGGTCACAGGAGGTGGTGGCAGTGGGGGGTTATGACTCTGATGACACCTTATTTTGATCAGCTTTGATCAGGTAAACTGGTTGCAACCCAGGGCAGATTTTACACTTTAGTCTAATGAAAAAAATGCATGAATAGTGAGTGAAGATTTTTCTCCTATTTCAACACTAAATCACTTCTATATTAAATCTAGGTTGAATTTGCAGATAATGTGTTTGGTGTCATTGCTCTGTGTAAAAATTATTTGTGTTTGGTAGCAGGACAGAGCTTTATAAGGTTGATGTTGTTCATCTGCTTTTTTAAATCTAGTTCTAAACACTTTTTTACATTAGACCCCAACTCCAGCCCCTGTCTCAAGTCCCACAGCTGAAAAGGTACCTTCACACATTTCAAGCACTTTAGTTTATATTCCTGGTGCGTGTCCTAATAGTCCTTATCCTGTCTTGTAGAAAGGCCTGTCCCGTCAGGAGGAGTTGAAGGAGCGAGCTCGTCTTCTGCTTGAACAGGCTCGCCGTGATGCTGCACTGAAAGCCAGCAACAAGACTTTCCCCAACTCAGCCTTCACTGCACCAGCCAAAGCTACAACTGTTTCTGATGTAAGTCACTCTGGGTCTTTCTACAGAACAGCATGCGGAAAATGTTTTCATGCTCAACTGGTTTCCACTATCCTTGTCCTTTGGTCCTTTAAGCAAACACTGAGTTCATGTTTTCTGGATTAACTTTACCCAGTAGTCTCTTGAAGACTTGCACCTCTACTTGTCTGAGAGACTGCAGATGAGAATAAACTGCTCCATTCCTGTCCTGTCCCATACCTAGTGCTGTCTCTCATTCTGTTAGTTGGTTGGTTCACAGTTTTTCTGACATTCAGGCCAAATTTGCAGCTCCTCCAGTTTCTCCTCAGACAGGCTAAATGTTGAACACAAACACCTGTCAGCAAAAGTACATTGCAGTACTGAAGGGGAGAGCCAGCGTACCGAGGCAAACTAGACTAGAGAAGACATGGCTGAAATTGCCAGCTCTGAACCAGGCACGCTCCACTGAACATAATATACTGTGATGGGAGGGGGGCACCAATGGACTACAAGCCTCCATGGGAAAGCACTGTGGTCAAATCTGTACTGACGTTCTCCAAATGGTTTCAGGCAGAGAAAAAGGGGGTGCTGAAAACATTCTGTCTTGTGAGAATTGTGACGACAAGGGATTTGAGGCAAAAATGAAATAAATACCTTTTGGTAATGAAATATCTAAAAGGCAGCAGGCACATGGCCCTGCATTTGCCACAGGAATCCTTAAAGAGGAATGTGCCCTTGAATTAGATGTTTTTCAAGTGTGTGTTTGTGTCTTTGCTTTTGCCTGTTCGAGTGTGGCCACAGAAATAACCATTTCAGCATAATCTCAAATATAAATGAGGGCCATCCAAGGACTGTGTGTTGAAAGTCGTTAGAGGAGAAAGTCCAAATTAGAACCGTTTTTCAAAGCTGTTGTGGTGCGGATATATTCCTTAGTGGCAAAAAATAAAGGTCCTCTATAGTGTCCCTTGTTGTGCAAGATGGCTGACTTCTCTCAGATTAGCTTCTCAAAGTAGCTTGGCCCTCTGCTCTCTGCCCATCTCTCTCTTCTCGTGATTTCCTTACTCATTTCCAAGGACAATTGGTTAATAACCCTCTCCTGCACACACACACACAAGCACGCGCACACACACATAGACAGAAAGAAGTGATAGAGGGGGCAAGAGGAGATATTGAATTGTTTACACTTTTTAATAGAAAGCATTGATCAAAGGAATACGACTGGCCTCTGGGCCAATGTGCTGATAATTGTTAGTGATTCAGATTAGATTACTTGATGTCTTGTTTTGATTAGCATGGTTAGTGTATGTATGTGTGTGCGTGTGCCTGTCCATGTTATCAGCTCAAGAGGCCCAAGCTGTTCCCTACTAATTCTCCATTTGTCTAAGTAGGTGCTTTGATTTAGCATGCATAAGGTATAATTTAATTCAATTAAAGCTACCTTCATTCCTGTGGGGGAGTGGATAATGTGGGGACAAGAGAATGATTTAGGCTGAGAAGAGAAGGATCTACATTAGCTGTTTGGGGCATGCAGGGCCCAAAACACAAAAGCCAGGGACTTCTTAAATACTTATTTGCATTAAATGCTCGATATATATTTTTGCATTATCACATACTAGTTAGATTTAGCTGCCTCTTTTAACATGTTCTTATGTGCTTATGAGTGGTGTACAGTATGGATGCCTTCTTTTTACACATGTGGCTGATTAGATTCACCTGTATTGTCATAAGTACAAGGCAGTTTAGTAGCCATCTGACCAGAAGTGCAATGAAGCAAGTACTAGATAAAGTAGTTATAACATAAATGTTATATAATATTTTAACAGTGTGAGAAAACTGCACTGACCCATAGCCACGTGGTTGTGATACAGAGGCAAAAGTCTTAACTTGTATTTTGCTATAATTTTGTCATAAAAAATATCTCCAAATCATTGTCTGGAGCCAGTGACAGAGCACAGAAGTGTGTAATGTGTACTTTGTGTGGAGGAGAGCATGTGTTTGTAGGCCTGTTCTCTTGACCTATGCTGTCCCTCCTACCAGTCCTAATTGTAGCCCACGGTGACTGGCTCTTTCATCTAAGGTCACAGGTTCACTTTTCTCCCTTTCTCTTTACACTCTGCCTTCTGTCACTCTCCTGTTCATACATCACATTCTCTCACCTTTATCAATCTCTCTCGTTTTTTGGGTTTTTTTTCCCATTTATCTTTGCGCCTATGTCACTTTGGGCTTGTTGGTGTCCTTGACCTTTCATGTGTTGACTGCACTGATGCTAATTGTTGGTGGGCACCATCAGAACACATCAGTGGCTCAGGTCTTGTAATGTTCTGGGGTCACATTCCACTTGCCCACCCTGAACCTACAAGGGCAGCCTCTGACCTCTGATAAAGAATGTTAAAATGTGTTTTGTGATGGATAGAACAAAGTTGGTTTTATTTGGACAAATACAAATTAAATTCGAAACTATTGAAATTATTTCAAATTACTTATTATTAAGAAATTATGTTACTATTAACAGCTAATTTTGTTTTAATGAACGCTGAAAACAAAACAAAAAAACTGTATAGGCTCTCAAATTATTGGTGTTTAGAAATATAACTTGGGCTCAGTAGAGTGAGCATTTACCCCTGAATAAGTCCCCTTTTGAATGATGAAAGGAAATACAATTATAACACAATAAGTTACAAAATTGTTCACAGTCAGAACAGTTTGTTGTAGTTTTGACCATCCCCATTGCTTTAATGGGATAGTGTGTGTTTTTGTCTGTGTGTGTATAACTCTTCTCATCCATTAGCAGATGAGAACAGTAATTTCACAGCGGCCTGGCCAGGCTAATTATTGAGCCCCACACAAGGTTTTGGAGACTGTGTTTGCATGTGGTCCTGTGTGGATTTGTGTGTGTTCCTGTGCATCTTGTGTGCTACACCAGAGTCTGAGGACTGAGATGAATTTGTGTGTGCGCGTAACGGAGAAAGGAATTTGTCTGAAAGTGCACGCAAATGCTTGGCTGTTTTGCAGGTAAGAAAGTTCCCTGCTCACTGACTCGTTGTGATTCATATAATTGGGTGCCGTTTGATTTTTGCGGGACACCATCCATACCTCCTCCCCCTCTCTCTTTTTTCTTTTCTTCTTTTTCTCTTCTTGTCCTACTCTTGAGTGGAAAGAACTGGGGTCTTTGCCGCTGTGACCCATGGGTGTTTTCTTCGTCAGCTGTTCTTTGAACCTCTTTAAAATGCCCCACGTCCTCATTTCACTGGCTGTTGTCCACTTCTTTTTACATGGAAATGGTTTTGTCATTTTCCACTTTATTTGCATCGAAACAGTGAACAAAAACAAGGCTGAAATGGAGGGCATGACACACACTGCAGAATACAAAACAAGATGCAAATGGTACAAATTCTATTCAATTTAAAGAGGTAAAAGTAGATGCTACTGCTACCAAGTCTGTTTGGCTGATTATTAATTGGACTTTGAGAGGTGAGCCCCCCCATCCCCCCAAAATGCATTTTCTGGATTTGGATACATAACTCTCTTATTAAATTATGTTTTAACTTTTATTTAGGTTGTTTATAATAAAATAGGTGATTAGTGTCACATTTTCACAAATGTAAAAGTAAAAATGCCTATCCTTAAAATAAAATGTTGCTGCCCATGTCCCTTCTCTGAGCCCTCATTTTAATGTGGTTTCTGTCCTTTTATTCTCTTAGCCTTACCCTGTCCGGTGCCCCCCTCCTCCCCATCTTTGCTTTCTGCTCTTAAGAATTTGTCCCTAATGAAACTAAATAGTTAGGTGGGGAGTTCCTTTGGAGTGAGTGTGCATGCTTGTGCCGAGGAGCGAGGGGATGTGTCGTGGCTGAATTGGCTGGAGCTGAGATCAAAGCAGAGCAAGATCTGTGCAGTAACGAGCAGCAGAAAGAGCGCTCTCCCTACTGCATCACAAGAGCTGATCAAGCTGTCACAGGAGAGCCCCGAAACACGCCCCATGTTTTTCTCTGAGTGCTTGGAGATGTAGGCATGTGTTTGTCCTTTATGTCTCTTCACATTTCTCTCTCCCTTTCTTCTCTGATCGGTCATTTCACATACCTCATGTGCACATTTGACCACATCACTTCCACTGCGCAAGAGTGCTCCACTTTGTAATGCTGTCTTCTCCCTGTCCACTTGATTTATTTTTACAAGTAAAAAAGTTTTAGAAAGTTGTTACAGTCCTGTGTGAACCTGTGTAACTGCAGTAACATTGGTGTGGTGTTAGCTGGCTAGTTATTGTTAACAAATGTTAACAATAACTAGCAGTTACATTTATAATTTTTTTTCTTCTTATGTATTTGTTGTTTTTCTTCTTTGTTGATTGTTTTAAACACTTTATGCCTTGTCTCAATTGTACGCATGGGATCAATTTTGTCCATGGGCTGTAAAGTCTCATATAAATTTCAAAATGCATAAATATCATTTGCCCACATTTGGAGTTACCAGGAACTGTTAGTAATGAGACCTAGCACTGCATACAGCTGATAGAGCTGATACAGTTGACAGCGGATACAGCTGACAGCTTAATTTAACATAATTTTACTTAGTCAGTACAGTACCATTTTACTCAGCATGTCATTATAACAGATTTGTTGCTATGCTATTATACCAGTTTAATAATGTGGGATTTGTTGTAATGCCTTACGGTCCCAAAGTTCTGCACTTCTCATTCCCTTCCCTCAGTTCTCATTCCCTTCTTTTTATTTGCACAGTGGTCCCTCCCACAGTAATTATGTTGTCTATTTAAAGGGCAAAACCTTTCACTTGGCTGTCGGTGCCAGCATGTGAAAAGTGTCGTTTCCACGCTTCACTTTACCTGTTGGACCAGTCCTACTGTACAACTGAGCTTTGTTCTCTTGCACAATTATCACATACAGTGTGACACAGCTATGTTGTCATGGGATGTTCAGACTCAAATACAGTTAACAGAAGGTTTGGTGGGTTTTTTGCTAAGAAAATTGGCTTTTTTTTAACATCCAAGCTTCATTCAGACTTTGACATACTGTCTGATTTGAAAACTACTGCTGCTTATTATTATGCAGTTTATATATTTATAGTCTATATATTTCACAGAGTATACCTTTATGCAGAGGCAGACCCCTATCATGGGCAAGCACATGTCAAATCATAATTAGGCCATGTCCTGTTTCTTTGATAGCCTTGTACAGTGGCTCTTCTTTAATTCCTTATCAAATGCATTGATCACTGTGGGCCTTGTGTGCTCATTGATCCGCGCACTCCGTCTGGTGCCACACGATAAGCGTCTCCCTCACACTCTTTTAGAGCTCTACATTAGAACGTAACTCTATTGCTCTCCCAAGTATCCAATAATAAACATTATTGTAAATTATGTTGCTTTAGTATCACAGGTTTAATGTAATTACTGTTCATATTGTGTTACTATTTTCTCTTTTGTGTTTAAATTGCTAATGATGTAACTCATAACCATACCAATTGACATGACCACAATTTTACTTTATTTGTCGTCCAATTGCATAAGCATCAAGCTTCCATTTCCCTTTTGTTTTGTCTGTTTGTGTGCCAAGTCAAGATAGAGACCTAAAGCGCCTCTTAGTACTGAATGAGTTTGTCATGACAAATGTGTGGAGCGGCATGAGTGGCTGCTAGGCTGACTGTCTGGGAGGTTGGCAGAGCTTTTTCACTGGAGCTGTGTCTGGTGCACAGGGCATCAGACTGCGCCCACGCCAGGTCTCTGTACAAACTCACTGGTGCATGGCCTCCCTCCCTTTTACCACTGGCCTCGAAAAGAGCAGTGAAGGCGACAACCTGCTCCCCCCGATCAGACAGCGCTCCAGCCCACGCCAAGACCACAGAACCCCTCTGTCTCAGCCCCGCACTCAAGCGTTCAGCTCTTACCCAAGACATTTCCAGCAGTCAATGGAACCACAGTCCACAATTGTCCACACTGTTGCTTTCAGGAAAAAAGGAAGTCTTCTACTTCTGATCACCATCCATCCTGGCCTCCAGCTGATGTGTCTTTTATCGCTTTTTTCCTTTTTTCCTTTTTTCCCCAAACGTTGAGCATGATGCACTCTAGACTTTTACTTTTGCTCGATTACATTTTAATATGTTTGAAAATTTGCAAATATTAGAAAAGATAAAGAATAGTCAGATCACTAATGCCTCTAAATTCTGTTCTGTTCTATGTGGCCTATACGTTGTATATTCATAGATGCACTGTCTTTTTTCTGTGGGACCATTTCTGTATTTTCTAATCAGCACCTATGACTAAGTTAACCTGATGCATTTTCTATGCCTATAATCCTTGCCTCTGGATAGGCAAAGCAATTTCAATTTTTCTGTCTTGAAAATGCCTGACAACAGTGATGCACATGGTGGGGCCCCATCTGTTTTAATGTATATGTGCATAGTCTTAACATACTCAAACCTGTGTCCCTATCAGCTCAGGCCAGACTGAATATCATCACCGCTCCTTAGCCAGAATGTCAGATCTGGCAACATTATACCAAAAAGCAGTATGGAAAAGGGAAGCATTTTGTATATTAACTTTCATAACCTCCTTGTTTGATGTCTACATTAAAGCTTCCCAGATTTTCCCACATACAGATACCACTTATTTATGTCACAGAGAAAAAGACAGTTCAAACCCAAACAATGTATCTTCTTATAAGACCCATCTTCAGTTACAGTAATGTAGATACCAGTGTCCAGTGTCATCTTGGGACATAATGATTATTATGGAACACATATCCTCTTGATAACATGAGGTAGTCTATAAGTGACCCCACTATAATGCCCCTTATTCCAGCAGATATAATATGTGTGCTGAATTGGTAATTGAAGTAGTTGGCTTTAATATACACAATATTTGTGTTCCTATACATAATCCTCTGCTATAGCTCCTCCTCTTATCTGTGTTTTGGTCTCACTGCTCTGCCACCGTCTCTCTGTCTCCTGCTCTTTATCAGCCTCTCTAAGGTGTGTTCCCTTTGCCCCATGGGCATCCACCAGACCTGTCTCCAACACACACATACACCCAGTGCATTAGGTTGCTGTCACTTACAATAGATCCCTATTGTCCAAGCCAAACAATAGCTACAAACAAACAATTGACATGGAAATTGAGAGATGTAGCTCATTAGCGGGTGCTGCTTGTTTTGTTAATGGATAAATTGGTGGCTTCAATAGGCCAACTCTAAAACCCTTGGCTCAATATGGAGAAGCCTGATTAACAGGAAACCACAGGGAGGAAGATCAGTGACAGACATTCATGCTCCCCTGGGCCATGTGCATGTCTGCGCAAAGTGAATTTTCAAAGTTTGTAACTTTTTGTTCTTAAATACACAGACCGAAGCTGAATCTTAATCTTAAATCATTATGAATAATGTTATATTTTGAAATAATATTACATTTACTGGGTTACTCACAGCATGTTTTTATTTTCTATAAGAAATCATTATAAGTTTTATTGCCATTGTCAGTAAACAAACTCAAAGATCATGCATTAAAATTAGTCAAAAATAGACTTTAATAAGCAAAACACAATACAGTAGGGCAGAGCAACAGCACATAAACATCACCTAAAATCATTTGTTAGGATAATTACAATAATTACACAAGTGTATTGACACAAAGTCATGTCGTCATCTGTTCGGTGTTCCATCATTGACAGCTTCAAAGACTTCTTTTCTGATTGTGGTGTGTGTGTGTTTGTGTAGTGCCCTACACTATCAGCTCCATCAGATTGGCCTCAAAATAGCATTTCTGCTATTACTGAAGGTGCATGCTCAATACTGTATCTGTAGTGCAACAATTTATGTAGTTGAGACCACAAACATAACTAAATGCATAAATGTAGTTTTGTTGTCTTCTAAACAAAAATCTTAACTGTGTCTGCTGTCCATTTCTTGCTTACATGTGTTGTCTTTCTGTTCATAGGAGCAAGACGCAGAGCGGAGGAGGCAGCTGAGAGAGAGGGCAAGGCAGCTGATCGCAGAGGCTCGATCTGGAGTCAAAATGTCCGACCTGAGCACGTTAGATGCAGACAGAGCCAGAGGAACCCGGGCCAGTCCTGCTGGAGGTCAGTTACACGTAGGAGAAGCACAAAGCTATCGCATCAGTCCCGCACTTATTGTCTACAAAAGAAGCATTTGCTTTTAATGTACACCTTTTCCACACACACTAGGACTCCCACATTTCCATTATGCTCTCTAAAGGGGATCTGCCTAATCCGCAGAGAAAAAGAAATGTTATTCGACTGCAGTCCTGATTCAGAAAAACACCTTCCCAATATTCAGAGCAGCAATTTACCCTGCAACTCCTCCCTTGTCTCGTTCTCTCAGTAATTGTTAATCAACACAACACATGGTGTGGCCAAATTATGCTCCAAATACAAAAAGGCTTCTAATAACAGCTTACAGGGGAGCAAATGCATCGTGTGCACGTCCCACTGCTTTCCATTTTCTTGAAATTGGGGTTATTATGGTAATGACCATTATTAGATGTTTCTTGTTGTTTGTTTAAGACGTCTGTGCATTACACCTTCCATTTTATTCAGTTCAGGCATTATGACTTTACTGCTCATAAATTACAAACAGTGGCGTTTACAAAATTACAGACCGATTTTTAAACTTTGAGGTTTGGATAAATTGGAGAAGTGTTAAATTGCTGATCTGACCTTTAAAATTTTGAAAGTTGTATTGCTATACTGAAGTTTACCTTTGTTTACTGCAGGGTCTTTTAACATTATTTGTTTTCCCTTTTGTTAACTTTACTTCAGTTGCTGATGTTTCTAGTATCTCTTTCACATGTACTCCTCAAAGAAAAATGATTTATGTGAGTAAAGGAGGACTAAGGGTAAGTACTAGTTCCCAGGGACCAGTCAGGTAGATTACATGTGTAAGTTTAAGATGACTGGTAAACTTGAACTGACAAAAGCCTGGTAAGTAAATCCTTAGATAGAAGTGAGATCAGTGACTCGTTAACTGAAAATGACAAAGACAAAAAAGTATGGCCAGGGAAGAGGGGCACTTGATTTCTTTGCTCTTTCAGCCTTTCTGAATTGAACTAATTGTTGATCTCATTAAAAAGGGAGTTGAAGGGAAGAAGGGAGCAAAGGGGGAGGAGGTGAGGAGAAGAGAAATGCTTTGGGCTGTGATTCACAAGGCCTGCCGAGCAGAACGGCTAATCCTAGCCCCTACACACAAACTCACCATCTCTCTCCCTCTCCGCACCATTCACGCTCCTTCAGTGCAGCACGGACCCCCCCTCCAAGTATCTGCCCGCAAAGAAACTTTCCAAACTCCATCACCATGGACTCCTATTAATTAGACCCCAACCAGCCACGCAGGGACGGCACTTGCTAGCACGCTCCACATCGCAGCCAGCAAATTAGAAAAAAAAAAAAAAAAACAGGAAATGCTCTTATTATTTACAATCTTTCTCTCTTTGTTCTAAATGGCTCGGCCCAGCAAGTTGTAAACAGCAGAGGAGGGTGCTTGTGTGTTCCGTTGCTGTTTACTGATTGTTTTTGTCTTAATCCATGGTGGGTTATCCATGCAGCTAGAGCTCTTCGGGTCTCCGTATGGGCCCGCTGTAATTTTATTTTCTTTGTTGGTAATGTGTAGACACTCTTGTTTCTATCGAACCCCTCAGGAGACTTAATGGAATATATGCTTTCATGTTTTGGAGGTTATTGTTTGCCTGGCCTTTTTATCTGGAACACGAAAATAAGGGAACCAATGCATGAATAAGGAAAATTAAAAGGGAGACTTACTTTCAGTTGTGGTTGATACACTTTGTTCAGCAGCTCAGCTGAAACACTAAACCAGAATCTCACACCAGAGTCCACTTATTTCTAATTACAACAAAGTTTCAGTTGCATAAGCATATCTTTAAAATCCCTAGTTTTCAAAATATTTTTTTCAAACTATGATAACATTTCTTTCTAACTACCATACCTGGACTATTGGGAATTTGGAATGTTAGTTTCTTCCATAAACAAATTCAACAAGATGTGACCGAAGGAAAAAATAAATAAATAAAACTTTGTTGAGCAAAACCCCACTGTAAGTCTCAAAATAGAAAAATAAAAACAAAAACAAAAAAACAGAAAAACAAATGAATTGGAGCATGAAGCAATTTACTATGGTCAAAGAACGTTTAACTCTGCTAAACAACCACACAAAAATTACATGTTAGAAATTATTTGATATACACCACCTTAACAAAATTGAAATTATTATTTTCCCCCCTTGGTATTTTCATTGACATTTGAACATAGGTATCTGTAGCAGTTATTAATAATAAAACTTATTTTCACTAATTCCTTTCCTTTTAACTGCTTAACACCATCTTGCACTGCTTTAGTCTTTTCAGTCTCTTCTGACCTGTCCGTACTCATATCCACAGATGTAGATGGAGAGAAGGATCAGCGGTATGTGGACAATGTTGATTTTGAAAGGGCTGCTGCTACTGCTGCTGATGAGGAGGAGGAGGTGGTGGTGGTGAAGGAGGAGGAGGATGAGGAGGAAGATGAGGAGGAAGAGCAGCTTCAGTTTGAGGCTGATCCCACTGCGCTTGGTGCCACATCTGCAGCTTCTCTGGTTACTAGCCCACTGCCACTCCAGGCCTCACCTCCAGACTCCTTCACCGCGCTGGGGCCACTGGAGCTTACTAACCCCACCTCTGAGCTAACTTCTCTGGGTAAAACACTGGCTTAGGCTGCATGCTTCAGTGTCTGTGATGCTTTAAACTAACTACTAACTCAGTTGATTGATTTCTTTTTGCTTCTTTCATATTTCTTTTACTATGAAGTTTTAAATGTAATTAATAAACTTAGCAAAGTTCTCCCCAGTCACAATAAAATCATATCTTTAGGGAAGTATTCACAGCAATCTTCAGAGGTAGTAATTGCTTTGTTTTGCTGTGAAACACTTTTATTTTCGTCACCAATTTTCCATTGATGTGAGATAGGTGAAGTTACTTTTAGAAAAACACATAAACACAACAGGCAATGCTCTGTCAAGCTTTGAAGTGCCATATCTCAGCTTCATTTGTGTTTTCATTTCCTGTTCTTTGTTGATACAATTTATTAACATGAAATAGACCAAAATTAAATTTGTAGCTTGAGTCAATAATTCTATATAGTTGATAACTGGAGAGACATTCATAGTATATTTAATTGTTTTAAACGTGCACTTGAATTTGGATGACTGGGAGATGGCACATAAAACACATTCCCTCTTTCATCTTTAGGACAGTGGTCAGTCATGGCAGGGGAGTTGTGTGTTCTCGCCATAGAAAATGGGTAGCAAAAACACAAATCAAAGTATTAAAAGGAGCAGGGTTAAGAGAATTACAATTTTTACCTCTATATTGTTTAAAATTGTAAGTGTGTCCATTTCTCCCACTAGGTCTGAACAGTAAACATGTGGACCTTAAGCTGAAGAAGATTGAGACCAAATCAGGAGCGACCTTACCTTCATCCCCATCTTCAACATCCTCTTCCTCATCACCCTCTGTGTCATCCTCCACGCTCAGTCCAGGCGAAGGGCCAGAGGTACAGTTTCTCATAGCTCACATTTGAGTCCTGTGCCAGTTATTGTGAAAGAGATAATGATATTTTTTGGTTAACAAGTTTTCATGTAAAACTGTGTTTCTCCCCGCAGTAGTCTGACACACACACACACACGGACGGACAGACATTGTGATGTTGTGCCTTACCTGTAGCTCCTTTATCCACTCTGACCTTTTCAGACAGTTCTAGTGTGAGCGAACACATGGGGAGGGGGTGCTGGTTGTTGCATGTGTCTATATCTTCTGATGTGAATATTGAGTAAACATCGTAGCTGGGCCGTCTTTACATCTATTTAATTGATTTTGAATGTCAAGTGGAATAAGGTGAGTGTGTGTGACTGTCAGTACAAGTGAGACCCTCTGTGCTTATGGCGACACAGAGCGTCTTTGATCATCGATTCACATAAACACCCTCTTGTGTTCAAAGCCTAAAAGGCTTAGCCCTTTATGCCCAAAGGAGTGGCTATGTGTGCCTGTGTTCCCATTTGACACAGTTTGTAACACCATGGAGGGAGGATCCTGATTTGAATATATGCTCAGTATGCTCATTTGTTTAAATAGTTTACTGTAATTTAACTACTACAGTTAAACTCTGATCCAGGAGAATAACTGACATCTTATAATAAAACAGTATACAGTGTATTTTAGGTGTCTTAGAGGAGGCTGCTCTGATACTGTGTAGTTGAACCCCTGTGCAGACTGTCCTTTCTCTCATTAGTGATTGTGTGCATGCGCAGCGTCTCGTGCACGATAAGGCCGTGCGACGCTCAGCAGACTGCAACATTAGTCACGCAGCGGCCTGCACATTCACAGACACCAAACCAAAACCCATGAATTCACCACAGCTTACCACAGCGATGGTCGTGCTGATAACAGATCACAGGGAGAAGGAGCACGACAGGAGGAGGCAGGGACTCTATCTGCTGGTCCCAGACTGTGACAGGAGGCACAGGGCTAACCCAGTGAGCAGGTGGTCTGCTGCATGTGCATCTGAACAAGTGCTGACCACCACAATGATTATGTGGCCAACAAGACTTCGGATGGGTGTTTCAAATCTGTCCCAACTTAATTACATGACTACACAGAAATGGTTTAAATGTGGACTATATAAACTTTATTTAACCCTTATAAAGCTATGAGTAACTTCATGGATAATGGTATACCATATACAAACCACTTCCTCAAATTAAAATTTGAAATGAGAATGTGAGTATTGTCACATTATGTCACCCACCAGTTCAGTAACAGTCCAGCAGTAATTATGCAGCTAGAATTTCTCTCTCATGGGATTTGCTTTTGGGCTAAAGCTACTGTCCTTTGTAAATGTTGCTGGGGCTTGCAGTTTTGTTAGTCTCTACACTGTACAACAATAATTAATCAACAAAATCTAAATCCCCTTGTAAATATGACAAGGACAGCACTATTAATTAAACTAAGCTTTGTACTGCAAAACATATTCAACATCATGCATTTTTGTACAGCTGTTATGTTATAGTTACCATGCACATATGCAAACAATTTTAATATTCACTTTCATTATCACATGGGACTTTTCATTGCAATCAAACTTTATGCTCCATTTACCGTTTTTTATTAAACAGCACAAGCAGCCACTTGACTCCTCCCTTTCATTCTGCAATTAGCAATTTTGTGGCGCTCCTGGGGATTGTCTTGGGGTTGGCCCTTACATTGTCGGGTGCACACGTTCACTCTAGCCTTATGTTGCCGGAAATTACTAATTGGCCATTTCAGTTCATAAATTTGACTGGATTTAAAGTTATGGCGGCAGCTGACAGAAAAAGCAAAGAGCGAGCAGAGTAATTGCCGACATTGTTATTGAAAGTCAATAATCTAAAACTAAACTAATAGTTCCCTTTTGTTTACTGCACAGTCTCAATTAGCCATCCTATCTCTAGAGCCTGCCTCACAATCTCAAGAAGTGGAACATGTGTACCCTAATTGTTGACTTTATTACACGTTTCGCAGTCTTATTAATGTTACCGCTATGTCAATCTCTGCCCAAACTGGTTTTCTTTTCCACTCGGCTTGGTTTATTCGGAGGCCCCAGTAATAAAGCATTTCCGCATCCCATTTTTTGATAGCAAGAGAAGCAAGCGTGTAGCTTTTTAACACATGTTCACTTTGAAAACAATAGTGCTTTTTTGCATTTTGCATAATTTGAATATATTTTCTGGTTCGAGGTTTTGTTGAAAGTCAAGTTAATTGCCTCCTTTTTGTCTCTCTCATGAGTCAGACTACAGTGTAGTTAGTGTGCACACAAAGAGTCTAATAGCAACCTCTCCCATGTACTGTACTCTATACCCACACTAGATGCTTCTTCAATCATCACACATACCTATTTTTATTATTTTAGACTGTGAAATCATGTAGTTTTTGAAGGTGTGACGAAAGTTTGTTTAATTATTATAATTTTTTCTTACTTTCATTTATGTAGCAAACAGGTGGATATACATGGCAGTTTTTAAACATTTTCTGTCTTTGTGTTCCCATTGTATTTTTTGTCCTCCACCCACACAAAGCATCAGTAAAGGGTTAAATGATGGACATTAACTGTTGTTTTCTTTGTGACAGAACAATGCAGATGAACTTCGTGCAGAGCGTCTGCGTAGGGCCACAGAGAGACTGCGGAGCCCAGTAGTCTTCAGCAAAGAATCTGCAGTGAGAAAAACACAACTCAAGTCCTTTAGCCAGTATGTGGAGAGCAAACCAGGTGAGAGCACATTGCCTTAATTACTGCTGTATATATGAACATTTTAAACCTGTTTTAGTAACTTTTAAACCTGTTTTAGTAACTTACTGTCAATCTCTGGTTAAGAAAGTTTAATGACTTTCCGCTTGTCAGTTGTTTTTTTTCTTTGAATGTATTGTAATTTGATGCCCTAAAATCACAGTATAACAGTATATGTTTAGACTGTCTGAATATCATGAATTAAACTACAATAACATTTGTATTTTCTAAAAGCTGACTTTGTATAACAATACTGGCTAGGGTAAGGCATTAGCAGAGCTGCTCTGACATTTGCAGTGGCCTTGTACTGGGACTCAAATATCCAGAGCAACTACGTACAGTTTTTGTTCAAAAAGATCACACCTGCGTCAGAGTAAGTCTTGTAAATGTGCTGCTCTTTTGACAGAGGTAAAGAGGCAGAAATCCATCCCTGAGGATATGAGGCGAGCAACTGATGAGAGGGGGTCACCAACAAACTCTGATATTTGCAGACCATTTGAGGAGGAGGTTTGTCTTCAGTTGGATAAACTTGTATTCATGTTACAGTGCATTTCTCTTGTGACATCCTGAAAACTACATCTAGACCAAGATCTAGACCACTTTCTGTATCACTAGTAGTAGTCGTGCTATTCTGACTGTGTCCTTATTTTCAGACTTTGAGTTGCATATCTATACAAATGACCTGAGGTGGCTAGAAAGACATTTTCTGGACATTGTCAGATTAGCCCTGTAATTGTTCCTTTTGACCTTTTTTAATTTCTTTCTACTCAGCTTTTTCCACTCATCTCATAGATAAATCTCTTCTCTTGCCTTGCTCTGTCTAACACCTCATTCCCTCATTCTCTTCACCTTGTCCTCCCCCCCCGAAATTCCCATTCACTTAACTGTGCCCACTTCTCAACAGAGACATCTTTGTATTGATCTTGCACACTGTCATTTTAATTATGGAAATGGTAGATATGAGCTGCTTTGCAATTCTAGTGTGTGCGTAGTATTGGACCTGATTACACACGCGCTCTTATCCTGGCTTGTATTTAAACTTACTAAGAGTGTATCTAGAAGAATGCTATTATTTCATTGAGTGTGTGCCATCAGAGTCCACAGGGTGAGTCTCCCTGCACTTTCACCCTCATCCCAGCACACACGCACAAATACACAGGCCCTCCTCCTCTTCCTCTGCCTGGGCCCCAGGGTTAATGGGTGTTCAACCTTTTCATTATCCCGATCAGCCAAGAATTACCTGCTGAATGATGTTTGCATTAATATAATATATATGGTAATTTCCCTCCTCTTAATTACGGCTGGGCCGAGCGCGGCAAGGGGAGTGGGCTGATCATGTGTAAAATTGATTTGCCAAGGAAAAATATGGTGATAGAGCAAGAACGTGCGAGGCAGCAGGAGGGGCAGAGACTGTTGGGAATCAGCCTCCACACACACAGGCTAGAACACACGTGCACAGGGCGCTCACATGAAAGAGGACAGCCAAAAGTGCTGGCCTGGGTGGAATATACAAAAACTTCCTCTCTTCTGCTCACTACTTCACATTCCCATTAAGAAAAAATGAAGTGCATCAGCAATAAAATAAATAAATAAAAATCCTCAATGGTGAATTTTGAATAAACATTTTCTTCACTCTGACAAGTTTTTCGGGAGAATGGTACCACAGAGACAGGAGGGGGCTCAGAACAGCAGTATATTAAAAGCATATCAGGCTGATGGATTTAATCATTTATGTGTGAATGAATATAAAATATGAAGCTATAAATTGACAAGTGCTTGGATAAGATGACATGAACATGCAGAGTCTACCTGCATGCGGAGTGATTAATTCAAAAGGGTATGAATTCCACTCTATTGTCTTTATTTTCCCTTTAGTTTGAGATCACACATGATGCTCATCTTCAAGATTCATATAGTACAACATCAGTATTTCCAAAGTGTCAAGTTGCATAGACTAATCCTACTGTTCAATGAATTACACCATTCTCAGCCAGATCTTTCATTCAGAAGCAACAGTTTGTCTTTTAAGCTACAGATCATCCTCCTTCAGATTAGAACTCGCGTAAAAATTAACACTTTGAAATTTAGCATGTTAATTAAGATTTGTGTCCTTTCTACCTGTTATTTCGGCTCTAAAACCATTTTGTCTCCTCTTTCAGATATCTTTCCAATTCACATCCATTCTTCTTTATCCTCTGTTTGCACAATTTCTCTTTATCCTTTATCCATTCACCCTTTTTTCTTTGCCTGTGTTTAATGTTGTATCGGACTACTTTGCCTGTTCCCTGACTGTCTCTCTGCCTTGCTCTCTCTGGCTGACAGAAGGCGTTCAAAGACACCAGTCAGTATGTGGTTGGGGAACTGTCGGCACTGGAGAGCGAGCAGAGGCACATAGACGCCCGAGCAGCACGCGTGGAGAAGAGGCTGCGCTATCTCATGGATACAGGTACCCCAAGCCCAATTACACTGGAAAAACTGTTTTGGCAAATTGAGCATACGCGCGCACATAGACAACTGCGCTGGGAGGGGCTGTGTGCGTTTCTCTGTGCGTTTGTGAGAATCTTTGAAGGCCCCCCCCATCTCAGTTGAATGTTGCGCGACAGAGCGCTGGGTGGATATGAAAGGAGGGAATGGGGGTGTGAAGGAGGTGGAGCAGGGAGGGAGAGGGTGGGGGCAGTGGGGCTGGGGAGAGAAGGGAGACCTCTCTGGGCCGGGGTGATAAGGGAGCCCTTCATGGGGGAAACGATAACTGGGTGCGATAGCAGCGCCCCAGCCCAAGTCTTCACTGCTGCCGTATGCCAGCACGGCCCCAGCCAGGCTGCACAGTATTGAACAGTGCGCTCAGCCATGCACGGATACACACACGCGCGCCTTCCCTAGTACATATCTGGCCTTCATTGATATGCTGTATAAGGAAGGACGGGTGAGTTAAAGGGAGAGGCAACTAAATATAAAAAGAGTGAGAAACCAGGCAACTCAACACAAGCGCTGACACAGTTCACAAATCCACGACATACACACAGCACAAATGCTCACCCTGCCCTGCATACAAAGTGCAATCTGGTTTGGCAATGGAGCTGAATTTGGAAGGTTTTTATTTAAGATTTGGCTTGGGGTAAAGCCTTGTTAAGACATGAGACAGTGTGCCCAGCCAAAAAAAGCGGCCTTGGCTCCGTTAAGTCCCTTACTGAAATGGGAGAATACCATCCCATTTCTCACACAAGATTCATGCATACAAGAAAAAAACAGGTGTGAAAGTGTAAAATGTAGTTTGCAGAACATCTTCTGTTTGCTTTTGTCATATTTAGCTTCTGCTCATATGCTCTTTCTGATATATCAGCCTGTAACTTGGAGGATTTTGGCTCTTAAGCCCAAAAGGCAACAGAGGACAGGATAGAAAAAGTATAGACCTGTTGAAAAGGAAAGCAGGTGGTTTTGATTTGAGCTCACCTTCCCTATCCCATTTGGGTGCTGATATTGAGACTATCTCTGCTGCGATTGTTGTGTTGGGGTTCCTCGTTTTCCTCTGCTCTGTGTGTCTGTGCCCTCTCTCCCTGTTAGAGCACATGCTATTGTGTCTGTCTGAAGGGCTGTTTTTCCTGCTACAGCGTCACCCACTGATAAAGCAGCCACTAGCCACTACTAGACGCAGGGTATTTACTTTCCTACACCTTCCACCATAAAGATTTCTCTTTTTTTTCACCTGGGAAAAATAAGTCAAATAAACTTCCTAGAATCTGAAGTTAGTTATCCAAAATTTAAATGTATCTTTTAAATAATTATCACCATGAAGTTAGATTTCAGAGTTTACAACTTTTTGCCGCATGCACAGTACCTGCATTTCATATCTCATTCTGCAGCACTTATCCGTGAGACTCATCCAATAGCTTATGGATCGTACCTTTGGGCTGAAGTCTGGAGGCGTCAGAGCGAGATGTGCCAATGACAGGTGGTCACTAAAGTAACCTTTATCACCTGAGCAGCTGAGGTCACCTTTCCTACGTTGTCATAGATGATAGATATTTTTCTCAAGCATGACCAGCTGATTGAAGCTGCGACCCATTGGCTGTAAGCAAAACATCTGCTATTGATCCAGTGACTGCTGCCTGAGCAGTAACACCAGTTACATCCCAACAATATCATTTTTATAAGATTTTAGTGGAATGAGGCACAACAAACTAAAATTGCTCTGAGCATTACCAACAACATTTGTGTCCACAAGCTTAATTTATCAGCAGTGCTATTTTCTAGTTTCAAATGCAAATATATACACATTTAAGATTTTGGTGCTGGGAGTTTTCATTTCACCGTTTGGCAAGCCTGTTTATTTATTTGCCCCACAATTTTGGGAAACAGTTTTTGCCAGAGCCAGAGGAGGGGTGCAGAAAATGTGTAGAAAGGTTTGGGTGAGCCCAGTGTGCAGTGGTGCCAGGGCAGTGCAGAGAGCAGCAGGAGTGCGAGGCAGATGTGAACAGGCAGGCCGACTGACCCATGACTTAAAGCTCATTTCTCTGATCTATGACACAGCCTGGGAAGAGCCACTGTGCTCTGTTGCTGCTCCTGACCAGTGTTGTCACCTCATCTTTACCTTTTGCACTCAGATTTGTCTTGGATCTATCTATACAAAATCAGGAGTATAGTAAGTTTTTTAGCCATCCTTTGGAGTTCACTGTAATGGCATAATTTATTAGTCCATTATACATTATGGACATTTTTCCTTCTCTAAATTTAGGCACAGTGCATCTTTCTGGAGCTTTTTCTATGACGCCGTGTCCCTCCCCAGATGAATTCAAAGTAATTGGGGTGGTTAATTTATTTACTCAGAGGCAGTTCACAGCACATTAAATAATAGAGATAATTGAACAAGAATTGTCAAGTGTCTTCTGATATCAGACACATTACAGGAGGGAGAGTGCATAAAACTCCATTTCTATGCTCCCATTGTTTATGGTAATTAAGTACACAGATTTATTCCTTGGTTGCCTTCCAAGCTTATGGCAAGCGCCATTGTTGTCTTCTATTAATATGTAATCAGTAAATAGTTTAATTTTCTAATCTGCGGTTGGAGAATTCACTTTCTAACAACTCTTAATTACTGCTGGGCTCTAATGAGCCTCGCCATGCCGACACAGGCAGCCAATCACAGACTGTGGCTGAGTCAGGGGGGGATTTGAATTCCTGCAGCCTCCCCCCTGCACTAATGAACTTGTTATTCTTGCACCACTGGGAGCACTGTCCTTCACATGTGCTACATTAGGAGAATGCACTTCTGACAGACTTGCAAATATTTACAGATGGTGGCTGATAGTAACCGACTATATATAGCTAAATCACACTATTCTATATATTTAGATACAAAAATGTGTGCTTATAATCACTCAAAGTTGTCTTACAATTTAGGGCATTATTTCATTCACTCATTCACAGGTGGTGAGCTACTATAGTTACATCTTTCTAATAAGTCTATATTTGTAATCTTCTTGTCTTTTTCAATATTCTAAACATATTGTTGCTGTTGTTACATAGATGTTCCAGAAGTCATTATTGGTGGTAAATGAAAGCCACTCTGCACTGCTAGGTTGTATACCTTAATGGATACCATTATCCAAATAATGACTCTGTGCTGCTCTGCGGGCTGTCCTCACCTACTGTGCATTTGGGGACATGAGTTTTAGCTTTTTTGTTTTTTGTTTGTTTTTTATTGTAGCATACTCAATACTCATAATCAACCTTTGTGTCTGAACAACTGTGAGAAATTATGACACAAGGAGTCTTCCAACATGGCCTCAGCAACTCGGCGATCCATTGGTCAAATGGAGGATGTGAGTAACGTGATTTGTTAATTAATTTACCATGTGTTTAAGGGGAGTTATAAGGGAGTAGTTGTAAATGGTAGTTTGTGATGCTTTGAAGCTGAAATAAAGCTACAGTGAACAGTATTTTTAAATATCTTCTCTGCATCACATTTTAACATCTCATCATATACCTGAACACTACTGTTTCAATTCATTCATGACGTGAACTAGGAATGTATTTTTTGAATCTATGAAGGTGAGGAGGTCTATATTCAAATGAAGGATAGTCCTTCAAAGGTGACCAACATTAATGCCAGTAGGTCTTTTTGAGGGAAATACATATTTGTGTTACAATTTTTCAAACTAATGAACCTTTGATAAAAATGTTATCATCCTCAGAAAATATATGTATGTATGTATGTATGTAAGATCATTTAACTTTTTAACAAATCATTACTCTCCCAATGGATCTATGGGAATTTATACAGTACAATTTATTGATTTTTGCAGTTAGCAAAAAATGTCTTGGACATTATAGAGCTCCTTTCAATTGCTTTTTTAGTGGATTGTCTCTAGATAGCTCTTTTTGCCCCATTTCTTAAATGCATCTTGTGTGAATAGTGCTGTTTATTTTCCTCCCCATCAAGTAAGCAGTTGTCTCTGCCTCTTTTCCCATGTCTTTCTAATCCATCATTGTGGCCGCGTCAGCTTATAGTTTGACTAAAGATTTAAGCTGAGCTACAACATGAGTGGCACTGGGACTCCCTCACATATGCACGCACACGCATATCCAGCCGTCACCGCTACACAAACAGCTAGCTCAGATTTAAGTATATTATCAGGCCCAGTTCTTTCACAAATGCATTGTCGAAGAAGCTTAACATTAATTATTGTAACTTTGGACAGATTACATCCATACCCGCCTTGTAAGCGCAAGGCAGACTCATCTTGACCTCCTATACGAGAGCTTAAAGACACAAGAATGGCATTTTACCAACTTTAATGGGATAACCAGTCTAATCTTTCAGCACAGAAAAAGTGTTGGGACTATAATACCTTCCCCAGTTCACAGACTCAAAGATGGAGGCAGAGAGGAAGGCTATAATCTGCTGCGCGCTTTGTTTTCAGGTGCTCTATTAATTTACCTAGTCTTTTCACTTGACAATAACCTGTTAATGCTTTGTAACAATGCCTTGCGCAAGTAATACTGGAATAATCCCAGTGAGCGGATATTTTGGGTATTAGTGAGAGTTGGCCGCCATCTTTGAAAGTCCAATAGCTATTGGTTTGTAAATGGATTACCATACAAAACTAAGGCAACTAGTATTTTTTCAGTGGCATGTCATACTAATTCATGGTGAGGGACATGGATGTGATCAAAGTTTTGTTGTTGAGACAGATCCATTGGCATGGATAACTTATAGTCACTGGAATGTGTTTGTGGTCATCCCAAAATTCTCTTAAGGAGCAAATGTACCATTCTTCTCTATGGTGAAAGAAAAGATGTAGGGATCACTCCTTGAAAACCTATTGCCTTTTTCTTGCCTTTGAGGGGCCAAAATAAAGGATTTAGGCCTTTATTGTTTTGTGTGAAAATGCATGTGTGTGACTTGAAAGTTCAACTGGGTCAGAACACAGATTAACCCTAACC